AAAACCTTGACGTCATCTCAGTGGATGAAATAATTTGAGTTTCTACATTTCTTTTTTTTTTTTTTTTTTTTTTTTATACTTTAAGTTCTAGGGTACACGTGCATAACGTGCAGGTTTGTTACATATGTATACTTGTGCCATGTTGGTGTGCTGCACCCACCAACTTGTTAGCACCCATCAACTCGTCATTTACATCAGGTATAACTCCCAATGCAATCCCTCCCCCCTCCCCCCACCCCATGATAGGCCCCGGTGTGTGATGTTCCCCTTCCCGAGTCCAAGTGATCTCATTGTTCAGTTCCCACCTATGAGTGAGAACATGCGGTGTTTGGTTTTCTGTTCTTGTGATAGTTTGCTGAGAATGATGGTTTCCAGCTACATCCATGTCCCTACAAAGGACACAAACTCATCCTTTTTTATGGCTGCATAGTATTCCATGGTGTATATGTGCCACATTTTCTTAATCCAGTCTGTCACTGATGGACATTTGGGTTGATTCCAAGTCTTTGCTATTGTGAATAGTGCCGCAGTAAACATACGTGTGCATGTGTCTTTATAGCAGCATGATTTATAATCCTTTGGGTATATACCCAGTAATGGGATGGCTGGGTCATATGGTACTTCTAGTTCTAGATCCCTGAGGAATCGCCATACTGTTTTCCGTAATGGTTGAACTAGTTTACAATCCCACCAACAGTGTAAAAGTCTTTCTATTTCTCCACATCCTCTCCAGCACCTGTTGTTTCCTGACTTTTTAATGATTGCCATTCTAACTGGTGTGAGATGGTATCTCATTGTGGTTTTGATTTGCATTTCTCTGATGGCCAGTGATGATGAGCATTTTTTCATGTGTCTGTTGGCTGTATGAATGTCTTCTTTTGAGAAATGTCTGTTCATATCCTTTGCCCACTTTTTGATGGGGTTGATTTTTTTCTTGTAAATTTGTTTGAGTTCTTTGTAGGTTCTGGATATTAGCCCTTTGTCAGATGAGTAGATTGCTAAAATTTTCTCCCATTCTATAGGTTGCCTGTTCACTGTGATGGTAGTTTCTTTTGCTGTGCAGAAGCTCTTTAGTTTAATTAGATCCCATCAAGCAATCCTTCCACCTTAGCCTCCCAAGTCACTGGGACTGCAGGCTCATGCCATCATGCCTAGCACTGTTTTAGTTTTTAGATGCCACATACATGTTTATTTTTGTGTTAATTAGCAAGAACTTTTTAAAAAAAGATGGGTCGTAGTCTCGTATGAAATCCATGCAATCATTCAGTGCTAACGGCTGGCAAGTTAGTTACCACTCCTAGACCACAGCCACATGGCTGTGTAGTAGAGTGGTCACACACATGTCGTGGACTCTGGATCCAGCTACCTGGGTGCACAGTCCGTCCCTCAGTTTCCCCATCTGTAAAATGGGGATGACTGAGCTAATACTACCTGACTCACAGTTTGCAGCGGGGAGTCGACGAGTGAAGACTTAGACGGTGCCTGGAATAGTGCCTCATTCCTAGGCAGCGTCCTGTGAGTGTTAAATAAAATATCTTGCGGCCGGGCGCGGTGGGTCAAGCCTGTAATCCCAGCACTTTGGGAGGCCGAGACGGGTGGATCACGAGGTCAGGAGATCGAGACCATCCTGGCTAACATGGTGAAACCCCGTCTCTACTAAAAAATACAAAAAACTAGCTAGGCGAGGTGGCGGGCGCCTGTAGTCCCAGTTACTCGGGAGGCTGAGGCGGGAGAATGGCGTGAACCTGGGAGGCGGAGCTTGCTGTGAGCTGAGATCCGGCCACTGCACTCCAGCCTGGGCGACAGAGCGAGACTCCGTCTCAAAAAAATAATAATAATAAATAAAATAAAATAAAATAAAATAAAATCTTTTCATGCTGGTGTTTCTTTTCTGCTTTGACATGCTGAGATCCTGTTTTAGCTGCAGGATGGTTTGAGCGTGGCTTTGGTTTTCTATTAAAGCTTCTTTGATCTCTTAGCTCAAGCATTTCAACGAAGCATATGGTGTCTGCTTGCAGGGGATCTTGTGTGGGTGCATTTTCTGGTGCTCTTTGATAAGGAGCAGGGTATGAACATTTGGTTTGAGCATGACAGCTTAATGACTTTCCACGATAACTTCTTGTATCAAAGATTATTTCCCTTAAGTCTAGGAGTTGAAACAATGTATTTTGCTAGAAAATAAATAAGCTTGGAAGGAGGAAATGAGAATTTTCATTGTGGCTTGCAATGCTTTTGCCTTTTAAAATCTCATGACATGTGCTTTCATTAAATAAAAATGTCCCCCCTTCTTTTTTTCTTTATCTCGCACTTTGTTCCACGTGGCTTCACTAAGAAATTTGAAAGTGAACTAATGTGGAAGGTAAATCCAGAAAAATTTAATGCAGTTTTTAGTTTCAACTTGAAAGTTGCTGTTATGCCTTCAGTTAAGTTTTAGATGACGTGTTTTGTGGTTTTATACAATTTGATTTTTTTCCTTGATAAATTATTTTTCCCTAAATAGTTATTAATGAGAGCAGAGGCGTGCTAATAAAATTAAAAATAAGAGAAATCTCTAACTAAAAATACTCATAAAATGTGATTTTGAAAATTAATATGTAGAGCCCAAAAAAGGCTTTCATTGGACTGTGTGCTTTTTCATGATAAGATATTATGGATAAAGAGTAATTCAGTTGTTTAGGATAATTCGAGCAAAAGGCATCAGAAATGGGAAATGGAAAAGTGGGGTCAGCCGGAGATCATTCTTTTTGCAGATATTATGAGCACAGAACTGTACGCAGGGCCCTGTGCATGCCCTTGGGAGGGACATGGAGATAGGAGGAGAATGTGGGCAAGTATCAAAAGAGGTTGGTCCCTGTGGTAGGTGTTATGATAGCGTGGGGTGGAGATGTTACTTCTGGACAGAATGATGGGAAAGTGTCTCAGAGAGGGGGCATTGCCTTCATCTCAGAGGATGAATAGATTTTGGGGACAGAGGATGACATTCCTGGTAGAGAGAATGCAGGGACACAGACACTGATATTGTTTGGCTGTGTCCCCACCCAAATCTCATCTTGAATTGCAATCCCATAATCTCCACGTGTCACAGGAGGTCATTGAATCATGGGGGTGGTTACCCTCATGCTGTTCTTGTGATAGTAAGTTCTCAAGATCTGATGGTTTTATAAGGGACTTTTTCCCCTTTGCTCTGCACTTCTCCTTGTTGCTGCCATGTGAAGAAAGAGGTGCTCACTTCCCCTTCCATCATGACTGTAAGTTTCCTGAGGCCTCCCCAGCCCATTGGAACTGTGAGTCAATTAAACCCTCTTTCCTTTGTAAATTATGCAGTCTTGGATATGTCTCATTAACAGTGTGAAAACAGACTAATACAGACATGGATGGGGTGTAGTGGGTAAATTAATCAGTAGGTAGGCTTTCCATAATCTACATAAGCTTATGAACTATATCTGATGAAATACTTTGAACAGAAACCAGAGAGGCAGCAGAGCATAGTTTTACAAATTCAGCCCCAGGAGTCAGCCTGAATGTGAGTACTGGCCCAGCAACTTTCTAGCTGTGTGATCCTGGTTAAGTTATAGAACTGTCTGAGCTTCGGTGTCTTCATGTGTAAAAGGCAGGTAATGATAACCAGGTTGTTGGAAGAAATAAGCTAATGCATGTAAAGGACTCAGCATATGTTCTGCACAGAGTAGGTGGCCGAGAAGTATAGATTATTAATAGCAACAACAGCAATAAACAAAAAAATTGTTTATGGCTATGAATTTTTCTCTTGAAATAGATTTCTAGGAATTCTTTTAAATTTTCTTATGCATCCAAATTTGCTGAAGGCTAACTGCAAATTTTCAGTGACTTGGTGACCTCAGGGATGTCAACAAGCTGAACATTACCAATCCTTTGGGTTAAATCTCAGGCTTTCTGGTCAACTGAAGGAGCTGGGGTTTAATAAACACGTGAAACATCTCCTTGCCAGAAGAAAGGAAACAAAGTTTCTAGAAAGCAGCATTATTTCAGTTAGTATTATAAACTGTTGGGATATCATCATATTCTTTAAACCAGCTTGGTTTGTACTTCATAATGCCTACTGGTAAAGTGTAAATGAGAATAGAAATTGAATATGCCTTCACTCCTGGCTCATCAGGAGTAGCAGCTGGGAAGAAACTGCAGGCACGGCATTAGCAAAATGCGTTTAGACCCTCTGCCTGTATCTTTCAATAAATGCTTAGAATTTTGTGTTACACTTGTGTACATTTAGGAATATTTTTTCAGTGTTTTAAAATTCTATTCATTGTCAATAAGACCAGGAAAGGCGTGGGTGTTGGTTGTTTTGTTGAAGACTTTGCTGTTGGATGAGCCAGATATGGTAACTATATACTGCAGCTTTGTCCTGAGTGGCTGGAAAAGGTGAAGCAGCACGCTAGGAAGGCCCTCTCAGTACCTCAGTAAGCAAACTTACCTGAGGCCAGGTCGTTGCACAAGATGAGGTCATTGCACAAGACGAGGTTGCACGAGACGAGGTCGTGTCATGGCGAGGTTTCTGGTGGTGAGGAGTGTGGCGGCTGCCCTTGGGAACACAGGGGTTCCTTTCAGGCAATCAGGGAGCTTCTCTCTACTTCCCAGTTCTGGAGTGTTCAGAGGTGTGGCAGTGCCGCTTAATCTCAGATGTGTAGTTAATCAAAAAAGTACACACTTGAGGCTGGGTGCAGCGGCTCACACCTGTAATCCCAGCACTTTGGGAGGCCAAGGTGGGCGGATCACTTAAGGTCAGGAGTTTGAGACCAGCCTGGCCAATATGGTGAAACTCTGTCTCTACTAAAAAAAAAAAAAAAAGTACACATTTGAGATTAAGCTTGGCCGAGTACAGTGGCTCATGCTTGTAATCCCAGCAGTTTGGGAGGCCAAGGCAGGAGGATCGCTTAAGCCCAGGAGTTCGAGACCAGCCTGGGCCACATAGTGAGACCCTGTATTAGTTCTCACACTGCTATAAAGAACTACCTGAGACTGGGTAATTTATAAAGAAAACAGGTTTAATTGGCTCCAGTTCCTCAGGCTGTACAAGAATCACAGCCAGGGAATGCCTCAGGAAACTTTCAATCACAGCGGAAGGCGAAGGGGAAGTAGGCGCGCGTCTTACGTGTCTGGGTCAGGAGGAAGAGCTCAAGGCTGGAGGTGCCACACACTTTTAAACAGCCAGATCTCCTGAGAACCCCATCACGAGACAACACTGGGGGATGGAGCTAAATTGTTAGAAACCACCCCCGTGATCCAATCACCTCCTACCAGGCCCCACCTCCAACACTGGGGATTACAATTTAACAGGAGATTTGGGTGGGGACACAGATTCTAACCATCAGACCCCATTTCTAATATGTATATATATATTATATCTTATATAGGTACACATATACATATAATATACATGTGCATATACATACAATATATTACATATTATGTACTATATACATATATATGTGAGATTAAGCTTATGGATTATTTTGTATTGGTGGTGCTCTCTGTAGCTCTCATTATTATTTTCTTCCAGTATTTTTCTAATAAGACTTTGACATTTGACTTTTTTCTTCTGCAACACGTATAGCAGTTACTGTGTCCCAGGCACAGTTCTAACAGCAAGCAGAGAGGCAGCAGAGCATAGTTTTACAAATTCAGCCCCTGGAGTGGGCCTGAATGTGAATACAGGCTCCGCACTTCACGTCTTCTAAGTCATTTACTCCTCCGAGCAATCCCAAGGTTCTAGAGTTCTCCCTGGACAGATGAGCAAACTGACACGCGGAGAGGTCCGTTAATGTGCATGAGGCTAGTTTGGTGCCTGGGGGGGCCTTGACCCTGGCCCTCTGTATCCGGAGTCCCCTCAGTCTGGTGCTGCCTCTTTCTGGCCTCCAAACATCTACTATCCACTACGAGTTTGCTTAAAAACTTGTGGCCTATCTCTGAGGAGCAATAAGTTTGAATATGTTGCCATTAATTTTTGCGTGAATTCAACAAGTGTGTTATTAGCCCTCAGGGATGCAACAGGACGGAACACAGTCCCTGCCCCAAAGCACCTGTTCTAAAGTAGGAGTCAAGTTGGGACTGGAGGATGTTAGGTTGTGATTAATGCAAAGGCTGCCCCTGGCCTTTAAAAAGTTGAGGTGGAATTCACATGCCACGAAATTCATCATTTTAGAGTGCACAAGCCAGTGGGCTTTAGTCTATTCACAAAGTTGTGCAACCATCACGCCTATCTCATTCCTGAATATTTTTCTCACCCCAAAAGGATACCCTCTATCCATTAAGCAGTCACTTCCCATTTCCCCCTCACCCCAATAACCCCTAATTAGATCCTAAGCAACCCCTGGGTAACTGCTAATCTACTTTCTGTCTCTATGATTTGCCTGCTCCGGCCATTTCATAGACATGGAATCATACACTCTGTGGTCTTTTCTGCCTGGTGTAACTCATGTGGCATCGTGTTTCCCAAGCTCACCCTTGTTGTGGCTTAAGTCAGCACTTCCTTGTCATGGCTGAGTGGCACTCCTTTGTATGGACAGGGACGTCACGATTACTCATTCATCAGCTGGTGATCAGGTCCTGGCCTTTCCAACTGTTTCTGAGAAGTCATCCTGTTAAAAGATATTTTGATATGGTCAGACCTTTAGTCATAGACTTCCTAAGGATTCCAGCCTATTCTGCCTGAATGATTTTATGACAAAATCCTTCTGCATCATTTAAGCAACACTTTCACTGCAAAATTCGGTTGTTGTCCAATTGTCCCATTTCTGGAAACGACTCTGTCTCAAGACCTTAAGTTGGCTGAAGGGGTCTCACTCGCCACACTCGGGTGTAACCATACAGGCTCCTAACCAGAGCCTATGTGTATTCTTTGGAACATTCTCTGTCTTCTTTCTCTTTTTTGAGACAAGAGTTTTGCTCTGTCACCCAGGCTAGAGTGCAATGCTGCAATCTCAGCTCACTGCAACCTCCACCCCGGTTCAAGTGATTCTTCAACTTCCCGAGTAGCTGGGATTACAGGTACTCGTTACCACGCCCGGCCAGTTTTTATATTTTTAGTAGAGACAGGCTTTCACCATGTTGGCCAGCAGGTGGGTCTCGAACTCCTGATCACGTGATCCCCTCCTCGGCCTCCCAAAATGCTGGATTGCAGGCTTGAGCCACCAGGCCCGCTCTCTCTCTCTCTGTTTTTTTTTTTTTTTTTTTTTTTTTTACTATTTTTATTATTTAATAGCTGGGCTCATAGTACCATTTCCTACCACTTTTTTCCCTCTCTGAATTGTTGAGTCTGGCTCTGCTGCCATTCGATGTAATTCACTGGAGACTTAGCCTCATTTCAGGCTTTTGCTAACATGTATCTTTTTTTTTTTTTTTTACTGTTTTAAGATCATTTATTAAAACACAGTCATTCGGAAGCCGTTGAGACATCAGGCAGCAGGAAGGAAGGTGGGCTGGAGCAGGCCCTGTGAAGGACCAAGGACAAAGTAATAGCCGCGGTTGTGAAATTGCATTTTATTCTGATAAAGACTAATGTATGCCTGATAACCTAGCAATAATCCATAAGTTTGGTAGTTCACAACATTTTTAGAAAGCACATACGATTAACATTCAAATAAGGCACTATAAAAAGTTTTATAAAGAATGAAGTGTTTACTATAATTCTTTTAAGAAACTTTGGGGCCGGGCGCGGTGGCTCAAGCCTGTAATCCCAGCACTTTGGGAGGCCGAGGCGGGCGGATCACAAGGTCAGGAGATCGAGACCACAGTGAAACCCCGTCTCTACTAAAAATACAAAAAATTAGCCGGGCGCGGTGGCGGGCGCCTGTGGTCCCAGCTACTCAGGAGGCTGAGGCAGGAGAATGGCGTGAACCCAGGAGGCGGAGCTTGCAGTGAGCCGAGATCGCGCCACTGCACTCCAGCCTGGGCGACAGCGTGAGACTCCGTCTCAAAAAAAAAAAAAAAAGAAACTTTGGTTCATCTTGAAGGCTTGGTGAATTTTTAAAATATCAGAAGAAAAGGAAAATAAAATTTTTCCCCCAAAATACATAAGAACTACTTACTGGCACTTGTATTTTAAGTACCTGGAAAAAAATGGAACGGATTTTTAAAGGCAATTAATAACAGCCTGTACGAGGGTTTGTTTTATTTGATTTGGCACCAAGTCAAGAGTAAATACGCCATGGAAGACGCCATCGCGCATTTCCTCCACCTCTCATACTGCCCCACTTCTACCAGACCACACAGCACGTCAGCAACCGTCCTTGCTGCCCCACTCAGGAATCACTTTAGATTCCAATTGTGTTTGTTTGTTTGTTTGTTGTTGTGGTTTTGATACGGAGTCTCGCTCTGCCCCCCAGGCTGGAGTGCAGTGGTCGCAATCTTGGCTCCCTGCAACTTCCACCTCCTGGGTTCACACCATTCTCCTGCCTCAGCCTCCTGAGTAGCTGGGGCTACAGGCGCCCGCCACCATGCCCGGCTGATTTTTTGTATTTTAGTAGAGACGGGGTTTCACCATGTTGGCCAGGGTAGTTTCGATCTCCTGATCTCATGATCCACCCACCTCGGCCTCCCAAAGTGCTGGGATTATAGGCGTGAGTCCCTGCGCCCGGCCCACATTCCAGTTTTTAAATGGCTTCTCAGATGACACCAACAAAGTTTCTTTCCCCTTAAAATAAGGTGGCAGTGAATGCTCACAGGTATCGATTTCTTTGATCAGGAACAAAGAACTCCTTCAGGAAACTCACTTACTTTCCTGGTCCTTGTTAACCTATTGTGTACATTCTTTTTATTGGCACACCTGTTTACTAATTATGATTGATTGCTATTTATGCCAAGGGAGCATTTCCCAGGCATCTCTCATCTATTCACTCACGACAATGCGTGCTTACTTTATTTACATAGTGCTGCGGGTTTTCTTTTTTCTTTTCTCTTTTTTTTTTTTTTTTTTTGGCAGGGGGTGGTACCATAACTTGTTATTTATCAGGGCAGATCATACATTTGGATCAAAAAGAGAAACCGGCAAGTAGATCCTAAAACACATTTCTTAACCTGAGTCACATCTGAAAACATATAGATTTTAATTACATTTTGTTGAAAATTCATTCAACTTTGGTGCTTTTCCAAGGACTTATGTCGATTTCTGACATAAATCATAACCCTTGGTACATATGTATTTTCAAAGGAAACAAGTCATCTTAAAATAATATTTTTCTATATGCTAATGATACATTTTTGTAGCAAATTGAAAATTCTGAGTAAACTGAAAGTATGCTTAACAACAAAATAAATACAGCATGTATGGTTAGCATATACATTTCTTAGTAGCAGAGAATTTGTGTCTTACAACAAATCTGTAAACCCAGTTGCTTTCTTTCTGGAATTTTATGTAGTGTCTCACCATGTTCCACAATGCTGGAAATGTCTTTTTTGCCATCAATCTGTGCAAACATTTCTGATCACCCATTTTCCCCCAATGGCATGTAACTTTTTTTTAACTTTTCCAGGAAAATACGGAAACTTTATCAACCACTTATTAACTGAACAAAAAGTGAGATTACTACCAAACGCTCTTTTAATTTTGCTCTAGCAGATGTTTTAAAAGTTCAGACATCACTGATGTTTTTGAAGATAGCTGCATAAAACACACTAGGTGATTTCAAAGGATGAATCTTAGTATGTGACTCGTTTGGCACATCCTTAGCATCTAGAATAAAATCAGCAGAAACAAAAGTCATATAATTTTCAAAGAATTCATACATACTGGAAGTCTTAGGAAAAACAGCTTCTAAATGCAAGGACTATGAGGTGTGCCCATCTTACTACTAATAGTGCCACACATTTTTCCTCATGGAGTAACTGAAGCTTTCTGGCTTGTTTGAGGAACTTTAGTTTGTAGGAAAGCATCACCATAGGGCCAAATCTTGTTGGTTCCTATTCCGGAGAATGTTTCCGACACCTCTTTTTTTCTGGTAACATTCCAGGACTGGCTTTGTTTGGCTTCCTAAGCCGGTAGTCTCTCGATAACCATCTCTGGTTTATCATCCTCACGCTGAATGAGAGGCTCCCTGTCAGAGCATCAGTGCCCACAGTTTTGGGAGGGTTGAATTCAGTGTTGTAGACTCGGCCGCTGGCGGGATGAATCCAGCGAGCAGTAAGGCGTCGTTTAATGACCTAAAAGGACACATTCAGGTTAATCACTGTGTCGATCTGATCTGCTCTATCTGGGGCTTCTGCCTGTGAAAGTGTCCTTGGAAAACCATCCAACATCTGGACTAGGTTAGATTTTGCAGCTCCTGAAGGGTCAGCTGAGATGACGTAATCTGGAATGAGTTTCTCTTGGTCAATGAAAGCCTTGGCTAACATGCCAATTTCTTTTCTTTTCTTTTCTTTTCTTTTCTTTTCTTTTCTTTTCTTTTCTTTTCTTTTCTTTTCTTTTCTTTTCTTTCTTTCTTTCTTTCTTTCTTTCTTTCTTTTTCTTTCTTTCTTTCTTTCTTTCTTTCTTTCTTTCTTCCTTTCTTTCTTTCTTTCTTTTCTTTTCTTTCTCTCTTTCTCTCTTTCTCTCTCTCTTTCTTTCTTTTCTTTTCTTTCTCTCTCTCTCTCTGTCTTCCTTTCTTTCTTTCTTTTTTTCTTTCTTTCTATATTTATATATACTTTAAGTTCTGGGGTACAGGTGCACAACATGCAGGTTTGTTACATACCTATCTATGTGCCATGTTGGTTTACTGTACCCATCAACCCGTCATTCACATTAGGTATTTCTCCTAACATTACCCCTCCTCCAGCCCCCGACCTCCCAGCAGGCTTCGGTGTGTGATGTTCCCCTCCCTGCGTCCATGTGTTCTCATTGTTCAGCTCCCACTTACGAGTGAGAACAGGTAACACGCCAATTTCTGTGCCCCGCAGCATGTTGTACTGGAGCAGGTCCTCGCTGGAGATGTGCTTCAGCTCCAAGTGTTTGGTGATGCGCAATGACACGGTGCCCTTGCCCAAGCCCGAGGCCCCCATGGTCACCGCGCACAGCAGCCGCGAGGACACCCCCATGGCCGCAGACCGGGGCCCGTGCCATGCTGGCACCAGGGCTTTGGCCTGGCCTGTGCTGGCCGGCTGGCAGTGCCACTAGCAGGCGGCGACCGCTGACATTTATCTTTGTCTCTTTTCAGGTCGATCCAGTGTTTACAAGGGAAGTAAAAGCCAAAGTGAGAAGGTAAGAGTTGGTGGAGACCAGTCATTTTGTAGAACGGGAAGCCTGAGTGGCCCCTGAGTTACCTGAACTCACATTTATCCAGTCCCAGACACTATTCCAAGCAGTTTCCAAGTGTTTCCTCGTGTGGTGCATCCTCCCAGCGAGCCCATGGCATCCTAGGCACCAGTATTTGCCCAGGGAAATGCCAATAAAAACCACTTTGTGATTATAATTTTTAACTGATCACATTGGCCAAAATGGAAAGATTTAAAGTCTCAAAGGTTTGGAAGAATGGAGGCGTATTTCCCCTTTGTCACAGCCTGTCTGGGGAGCAATTTGTTGGAGTGTTGGTTATAAGTTGCGTTTGTCAGCTGGGAACCCAACAGCACAGGCTTGAACACATTGAGGTTTCATTGCCCACATCGACAA